GTCCCACTCATCCACCTCTTTTATCAATAAACCATCCTGTCTTTCACTTACCCGTTGTGTCTGGCCTTGCTTTATGACACATTTCATTTTGATAACAGAAATTAATTCAATATAAATAAATTTATTTAAATAATCAAATGTGTAATATTTAAATATAATAATTATAAATTTATATATATATATATATATACACACATTTATATATATATAAAGAAATTACATTTATTCAATATAATAACATTTATTATTATAGTTAATAATAACATTATAAATGTATTTATTTGTATGAATTAAATTGACAATAGAAATAAAATAAATAAAATAAATACATCTGACCTATTTATTATTTAAATAAATATGTATTTAAAAAAAAATAAACGATTTAAATAAAATTCATACATTTATTATTAATAAATAATGTAATAATTATTATTATTATACTTTATTTAAAGAAGGGTTATTTCATGCATTAATGGTAATGGTTTGTGTCCTATTTTGTTTTCCTGCCTGTCTTGTATTGTTTTTCTGAACATATCTATGTAAATGTCAACAGCATGTGGCTATGCTGAATGATGTCCTGACTGGGCTTTACTGTCGCGTGTGCTCTTCCTGTGCTACATTCCCCTGCATTTCCTGCTCTCTACACACAACAGTATGAAGGGCTAACCAAAAGGTTACTGTACCCACAATAGCAAAATGTCAAGTAACCACACTGATATGTCAGTGGGTTAGCGGCTTTTGTCTCTGCACGAGATTTAGGACAATCTGAAAGAACGAGAGGCTCATCAAATACGTCCAACATGCAAAACGCCCCTTATTCACCCTACAAAACCTTTACCCGCTTTCCAGACAATTCCTGTATTGTTGGACATAGAGTTCAGGAAGTTTTCTCATGACATAACTTCCCAAACAACTCCCTTTTTCTTTCGAAGACCTTCGTCTTCACATATATCACAGCATTTCACATCACTGTGGATTTTCCAGTTTGATTCATTTCTTCATATCTCTTAATAAATACGTTGTCCAGAAGTCAGGTAAATTCCGGTAATTCTATTCTATTAATTCTATTCTCTGTTCCGATTCTGAAAAACAAGCTATTCAGTAAGATGGAAATGCATTTTCTATCAATATACAATATACAAATCTGTACTGCAGATAAAAAAAAAAGAAAACCGTGTTTATATGAAATTTAAAAAAATAGAAGAAAAAAACATTAAAAGTAAAAGGTATTTACATGCAGAGCAAAATTTGTTTATTATTATCTATTATTTGTTTATGATGTCCGATAATGAACATGGTTTAAGGCATTAAACATAAGCCGTGTAAGATTGTGCATGCACTTAAAGTAAATGATGGAGTAAATTATTACTTTTATTCACACAGAATAATAAAGTCATCAAAACTATGATATTTTTTAAATCATTTTTTAATTAAATTAACTATTCACATGTGCATATACATTTCCATGTAAAACTATGACATTTTAGAGTATTTTTGCAAAGAAATATTTAGGAACAATTTTATATTTATTTACAAAAACAAATTTTAAGCACAAGCCTATTCAAATAGAAAAGTTTTTAAATGCATGAAAAACATTAAGGCTATCAGGTGAATGTTTGGACATGCCTGATTGCATGAATGTTGTTCATGCTTTTAAAAATGCATGCAATAATATATAGCATATATATTATTTATGCATCCAATATATAGTTATCACACCATCACAGCAGGATTCAGTCTCCAGCCCTCTGATGACCCTGCCCATTAACCTCGTTTGTGATGTCATTTCCCCATGTGGCGCTGCTGGCCTCTGTACAGCCCCTCTCTAAAGACCCAATGCACGCTTCTCAAAAGAGCCCATCAAACGGGCAGTGAGTTCACAGACAGAGGGCCCGCGGTGCAAGGGTCAGATTCAGCACCTCACCGAGAGCTGGGAACTAACACACTTATAGAATGAACAGATGAGGTGTTAGAAACGAACAAGATTCACGTACCTCCCTAACACGTGCAGTTTAGACCTTTCCACCAGAAAACAACAGAGACAATTAGTCAGACAAATTAATTATTCCACACAATTCTTCATTGTTTTTGGAAGCAACTACAGATTCGCAAAAACCCTCCACATCCATTTTTGGAATGTTTTAGGTTCTTAGGTTCTTGCGGAAAGCTATAAAGTTCTTAATAACTTTATTGATGTTACATTTTTTTTTCTATCTGTCTGTCTGTCCATCTATATGTCTCTGTCTGTCTGTCTATCTATCTATCTGTCTGTCTGTCTGTCTGTCTATATGTCTCTGTCTGTCTGTCTGTCTATCTGTCTGTCTGTCATCTGTCCGTCTGTCTGTCTATCTATCTATCTATCATCTATATGTCTGTCTGTCTGTCTGTCTATCTATCTATCTAGCTATCATCTATATGTCAGTCAGTCAGTCTGTCTGTCTATCACGTCTTTCTTTACCAGCTATTAAAAGCACGATTCACGTCCCTCCCTAACACGTGCAGTTTAGACCTTTCCACCAGAAAACAACAGAGATAATTAGTCAGACAAATTAATTATTCCACACAATTCTTCATTGTTTTTGGAAGCAACTGCAGATTCGCAAAAACCCTCCTCATCCATTTTTGGAATTTTTTAGGTTCTTAGGTTCTTGCGGAAAGCTATAAAGTTCTTAATAACTTTATTGATGTTACTTTTTTTTTAATCTGTCTGTCCATCCATCCATCCATCTATCGTCTGTCTATCTATCTATCTATCTATCTATCTATCTATCTATCTATCTATCTATCATCTATATGTCTGTCTGTCTGTCTGTCTGTCTATCTATATGTCTGTCTGTCTGTCTGTCTATCTATCTATCTAGCTATCATCTATATGTCAGTCAGTCAGTCTGTCTGTCTATCACGTCTTTCTTTACCAGCTATTAAAAGCACGATTCACGTCCCTCCCTAACACGTGCAGTTTAGACCTTTCCACCAGAAAACAACAGACTCTGTCTATCTATCATCTGTCTGTCTGTATGTCTATCTATCTATCATCTATATGTCATTCAGTCAGTCTGTCTGTCTGTCTGTCTATCTATCTATCATCTGTCTGTCTCTGTCTATCTATCATCTGTCTGTCTGTATGTCTATCTATCTATCATCTATATGTCATTCAGTCAGTCTGTCTGTCTGTCTGTCTATCTATCTATCATCTGTCTGTCTCTGTCTATCTATCATCTGTCTGTCTGTATGTCTATCTATCTATCATCTATATGTCATTCAGTCTGTCTGTCTGTCTGTCTGTCTATCTATCTATCTATCTATCTATCTATCTATCTATCTATACGTCAGTCAGTCTGTCTGTCTGTCTATCTATCTATTTATTATCTGTCTGTCTGTCTGTCTGTCTGTCTGTCTATCTATCTATCTTTTGGCTTTTGCACAATTCTGTTGCTGTTTTGCATTGCCACTTGATGTCAGATGTAAAATGTTGGTCCTGAAGCAAAACCGCTGCACTAGATAACGTCTCTGATGACCAGAAAAGGCATTCACAACAGCAGACAAGAACATCATATATGATTTACATGCAACACGAGGATCACTCATGATTCACAGCATCGCAGCACGTTAAATCATTCAAGCGCATCACAACCAGCGCACCTTCCTTCACTAGAGCAGAGCAACACATCAGGGAAAACACATTAACATTTCACGATATGATGACACCATGAGGGGGTATCAGCGGATCCATCCCACAGTCACTCACGTGAGGAGAAACAAATGAGAATAAGACGAGACGTACCATGTGGTAGTTGACAATCTCCTGCAAACCCTCGCCACACTTTTCCAGACAATCCTGTAAAAACGAACAGGACACAATCATCATAATTCAAATTAGGTTTTCATTATCAAGACCAAAATTAATTATGCGGTACTGGTAATTCAATCTCATGTTTGTTCTCGTATCAACATCTATTAATATTCTGGCCCACGTAGAGTCCGTCCGACAAGGAAAACAAGTCCCGCTGAGCGTGCAACAGCTTTTGTCAAAATGGAAATGTAATTGTGGGTCTGACTAGATGTTTTTACAGTGGAAAATGCAAATAGCAGCAGGTTTTAATAAGATGCTCAACATTAGTCAGCTGGGTACAAGAGAAGAGAAGCCAGAAAGACTCTTAACAGCATTTACAGATGGCGGCAATGAGTCTAACCCTACTGGCACTACTGACAGAGAGAAAGGCGAGAGTACAGGAGCCCCGGCCTGCTTCTTTTTGACTAAATTCATGTCTAATCAGGGTCAAAGAGTGTCTGAGAGACTCAAAACAGCAGCCTGATGCCCTCATGTCAGTGAGCCTGCCAGTAAAGAGCTCACAATTAAAAGCAGACGCACGTCTAGGGCTGAGAATCTAGAAAAAAATTACCAGTGATTTATGGTGTACAGTTTTGTTAACAGTTCTTGAACGACTAGTGTTTTTCTACAGCACCACAGCAAAAGAATGTGATGAGAGAAATATTGGGTGCCACAAAATACTTGGCTATACATTTTCCTATTGCAATCTCCCACAGTGAGGTCTGATTCATGAACGACTTCTTTTTAATAAATTGATCCAAAAAAAGTTATAAATAATACATGTGAGAGAATTTGATTGAATCAGCCTAATATGTATGCTTGTATGTATGTAAGTATTTATTTATTAATTTAATTAAAAATTTTTATTTAGTTGTTATTGTAAATTTTTTTATTTTTTTTAATAAATGGTAGGCCTACATAAATAAATAAATGAAACAATACATTTAATAAAATGGATATTAATATAATAAAAAAATCTAAATTATTCAATTATTATTACTATTATTATAATAAATAATAATAATATAAATAATACATAATAAATGTAACCAGCACAGGCATCAGCCAATCATATCGCCTTATGCAAATACCCTAGTGCAGACGCTAGCCAACCGCATTCATGCAACACCGTAAATGTAATGTGATTGGCTGTTGTCACTATGACGGTCACGTGAATCTTCAGACACACCCTCCGTCAAGCGTCGACGCCAATGCCCCGCGTTAATGCACCGTTACAATTCCCATTCTGACCATCATTATCAGAACGGATAGACAAAGCAAAATGATAGACAAAACAAACGCACACACATGTATATGTTAAAATATTACCGATATCATCTGGTCCTTCTTGCACTGCTGGGATAGGTCACGGATGCCGTTGATAAAGAGCTTGTTGGCAGTGACATATGCTTTCCCAGCTTCAATCATACCACCACACAACTTTACCAGCTATTAAAAGAAAACCAGAGAGAGAAACAGTTTAGCATAAGACACAATAAATCATCTATGCATAATGCGTTTTAGAGTATCAGCAGACACTTAAAGTCTTAATCATAACCTTAACTGTGCTGACAAAGCAGAATATTAAAACCTCTTGATATTTAGCAGCAAAACACAATTATTTAATGAAATATTGATAATGTTGTGAGATAATGAGTGTGATGTTATATTTACTACCTCATATTCTAATACATTTCCTTAATTCATAAATTAGTATTTCATATTTTTTTTAGATATTATTATTTTGAAAAGTATGCTTTCGCAATATGTTATGTTAATGTTTATGCTAATGTTTTAGTTAATAATGGTAATATTTAAAAATGTTTAGTTAATACTGTCAGAAACTAATATTTTTGCTAGTATTTTTGTTTCATTCATGGTGGGGATTTTGATTTATCTTCATGCAGAAGATTCATTCTGAAAGTTACACCGTTACACTGACCGGTAGGTGTCTTTTTATGTGTTATTAATGAGCCTTAAATGTGTCTTATCATCATTTTATTAAAATTTTAATATATAGGTGGAAACAAGAAAATTTTGTTCACTTCGAGATTTGTTCAGAAACAGATTAGTTTATTAAAAAGCATTTAAATTCATTCTTCAGTATAAAAAACTTGTTACTGAAGCTGTAAAGTTGTCTAAATCATAATAAAGAGCATGTGGGCTTTTTATAACTGCATTACTGTAATCACACTTCTGTGAGGAGTCAAATTATCCATGCAGTGCATTTAAATAAACATTAGGTTAACCAAAACTTGAAATATTTCTTTAAATCACACAAACACACACAACAGGTGTGGTCTCATCTGTGCAGTATTTCTCCTCACTAATGTGCCAATTACTAGTTCCCACATGTAAAGGCCAAGGCAAAAATTTCCCACTTTGGCACATGCCACACATCCCAGACTCAGCGGAGGGCTTTCACATGTGGTTGTGTGTTTGCTTTATGCCTGATGGGACACATTCTCAGATGGGCTCCATGTGTCTGTCCCTGTGTTAGGAGTCAAACCCGAACCAGAGCCCAATGTTTAGTTCCTTTTTCTTCCTGTATTGTTCTTTCTTCTGTATTTTATCTTCCTCTTTCTTACCTCAGTTGCCGTTTCGATTGCGTCCACACACGCAGCCAGCTGAAAATATCGGTTTGGGAAAATCTCTTAATTTCCCACACTCTCCTCATGAGTCAAACTAACAAACACAGAGAGCCTTGTTCTACACAGCTGCTGAACAGACCCACATACTCCACATCTGAACAGCCAGACGCGAGAACTAACAAGAAATTGTCATGCAAAAATAGATCGAAATGCATCATTTACTGTTTGTCCAGTCTGTGAATAACAAGTTTAAGTTAAGTTTCCTAAGATTCCTCTTCAGTGTGACTTCTCCACCAGTGTTCTTGGAGAAAAAGCATATGAGATCATAGGTCTGTGCTGAAGCTGTTGTTTTGCTGAGCCTGCTGAACTTATCAAAAGTTGCACGTTGTTGTGATTAAGATGCATGGAAACACCAAACAACAACAAAGACCTCAACCAAATGCATAAGAGGAGACCAATACATTTCTCTGCATCACTGTGCCTAAAAACATGCATATTACACTCCGCATGCATACATATATATGCTAATCAGTAAATTGCACTAACTATAAAACATAAAAATGAATAAAAATAAAAATAAATAATTTCTAATATTAATTTTAAGTAATTTGTTTTAAAATCCTAATAATTTAGGAATAAATAAATAAATACCAAAGAAGACTTTTAAAGGTGTAATATGGATTGACAGCTGTCACTCAAAGTTTTCAGGAACAGATGGAGATCACAGGCATTAGAGAAACATATGTGCTCGGTGAGATAACATCTGTTAGCGGATGAACACTTCTTTAAAGATTATTTCACCTTCATCTTCTCATGAATGGTCTTTTTTTTCAGATTTAAAATGTATAACCATATAAGGGAATGTGTGTATATTTTTAGATAAACTTGCAACTCTCCACCATTTCTTGCCATCATTTTTGTATTAATATGAGGGCAATTTAATTAATATAAGACAACTTTTACTCATATTAAATTAGTATAAAGTAGGGTTGTGACGGTGAGGAAATTTTCCCACCGGTTAATTGACGTGTGACAACACCGGTAATACCGTTATCACCGCGGGGGGCGGGGGCGTTCCCTCTTTTCCTTGCTTTCCTTCGCTTTTAAATAGCGTGCGCATTTTACTTTCACTTTCAAATAGCGGCAATTCGGAGTAAAGCAATGGTTCATTTTTAGTTCGTTTGAATTTTCCCTCTTTTCCTCGCTTTTAAATAGCTTAAAAGTGCCGTGCGCATTTTACTTTCACTTTCAAATTAGCGGCAGGCATCAATTGCTTGAATGCAACAACAAAATACAACGTCAAACTCACTTTAGCGTATATATAAAACATAGAACTTTTATAAACAAAACAAAAATACACCATGCTATAGGGCAGGCTATGCCTAATATAAAAATAACAAATAACTTACATAAAGTTAAAATGTACAAAAATGGAAACAAGTAAACATGTATAATATATAACCAAATAAATAAGAAACGTAGAACGTTTATTAGCAAAATGAGTGAGAAAGCTTGGAGGCACGGCATACACCTTGATGTCAAATAAAATAAATAAATGACACAAAGTTTAAATAAAGTAAAAATCAGCAAATAATGTGGAACCAATTAAATAAGAAACGAATGTTTAAAAAAAAACTTCCAAAATCACCTTAGATAAACGGCAAAAGTCAACAGGCTTTTCAAAATCCAAAATATTGCCAAACAGGCGCTTTTGCATATAGTTTCGAAACTAAATCATCCGCGATCGTCTTGTCCGTCTCACCTCACCTCACTCTTCTTGTCAGTCAGCTCGACTCACACTCCTCACTGGAGAAATTAAATCTGATCTGTGATGCAACTGTCGTTCAACTGCATTGAGCAGCCGCGTTCAGTTTTTAATTGTAGTGTCTGTTCTTTTACTGAACTAAATTATTTTTATTACTATAAAAAATCAAAACGACGGTGGGGGTCGGTGACGCGGTGGGCAAGTGACGTAACCGGTGTTGAGGCTTAACACCGGTATCACCATCAGCACCGTCTATCGCGGCAAGCCTAGTATAAAGTAAATATAAAAAGATCACAAAAACAGAACAATCTAAAAATTATAAATATACAAATAATATAAATACATAATTATTTGATTGGACGGCAAATTGTCCAAACTCAGCAAACTCAACTCATCAGCAAACTCAACTCATCACCATTTCTTGACATCCTTTTTGTATTAATATGAGGTTGATTTAATTAATATAAGGCACATGTAATTTATGTTAAATTAGCATAAAATGACTATTATGCATTTAGGTTTTGTGATCTTTTTAAAAATAAAATAAAATAAAATAGCCCAAAGGCTAGTGTCTTGGGAGCACTAGACTAGACTGCTGTATTAGTATTATATCATCCTGTCGATGAGGTCCAGCCATCTTTACAGCATTTAAGTAGGATTACCATCACTATACATTAATCCACAACACTCCTCTAATCTCATTTACTATAAATGTCCTTTCTGTTCATGGTTCTGCACATGTTCTTTCCGCTCTCTAATGACAAACTGCCCTGCTTTCTGCTTTCTCTGCTGGATTTACACCAGCATTTGCACACTGATGATCCGTAAAGCCTGAGCTTGACCGTTTGACCTTGTTGTGGGAGCGGCTGTTGTCAGTGTTTGGCTACAAAGGTCTTGGAAGGTATTAGATGTGATTTCTAACAAATCTAAGCTGTGATTTTCAAACATGCGGCCTAAATGCACTCTGACCGGGTCAGAAGGTGAAAGCTTTAAAGCGCCTTACTGTACCTTATCAAGCTTGGCTTCGATCTCCACCACCTCCGTCTCCACCTCATCAATATTAGCCCTGGAACACAAAACAGATGATGACGTGAATTATTTTGGCTCGACAATCGTAACTTGATGAATGACAAAGAAAGAAACAGATTAACAGCAGATTTCATGGGATCTACATTTCATTCTTCATTTCGTATTCACTCAAAATAGTTTGTGAGCGTAAAAATGTTGACAATATCATACTGTCTTACTAATCTTGCTATATTTGCAGTATATAGTATACACGCTCACCAAATTTGCTAAAATGTGCAGTCTACAACAAATCACACTGCATACAAAACTGTATCCCATAATGCAATGTTTTTTTTTGTCATTTTAGTGAAACTGAAATATATATATAAATATATAATTAAATATTTAATTGGATAATAAAAAGGGAAGAGGCAGATTTTCTACTTGTAAAAAGGTAGGAAAAAAAACAAGGCTGAAGCTGCAGTTTGTATTAGTATGAATGTAAAAGTGTAGTATGAATTAAATATTGTATTGCTAAAAATGAGATAACACAAACAATATGCAAAAACCTGGACTTTTATCAGGATGGTATTATTATCTCCAAATTCTGGCATACATTTTGCTTGCACACTCAAAATGATGTACTTTCTCACAGCCAGTAAAGTACACACTTTTTAGTGCATACTGTAACACAAGTACGCAAATAAGGCACAGCCATTGTGTGACTTAATGGTGCTTTCATGTGAGATTTACTGTAATTATGAGCTTCTGAATAGTAAAAACTTTTCATATCTTTGTCAAATTACAATCTGCCATTTTAAGGCAGCTGCGACATGTAAAAACAACCAAAACGACAGCAGCTTCAACAGTTCAAGTCTTTTTATCTTGTAATTATGGTCATCCTGACGAGACCTGAACACACCAGTATTCTCAGCAAAGACTACTGACCAATCAGATCTGACCTTCTCTTTTCAGAAGGGCCGAAATTACAAGTTGCCGTCTCCTCCCTCTTTCCATCCTGCAGTCTTCCTGTGTGAGAAGGCTTTTCCTCTGAACTGTGAGGCCGTTTTAAAGCCTCAGGCTTTGCGTTAAGCCATATCACTGAGATCGGAGATATTTTTCTGACTCTTATACAGGCAGTAATCTCTCTGTCTCTCGCTGTGCTCTGTGTGTGACGTGTTTGAGGGAGGCTGCACTGATGCACGTGTTCCATTTAAAGCAGAAGCAATTGTGCCTCGAGTACAGAGACACATACACTTGTGTCAGACAAGAGATGTTAATGGATGACGGACCCATTGTTCTTCCTCTCTACTGCGGTCCTTGG